ATAAATTATTTGGTAAAAGATAGCCCCCCCCTTTTTTTTTTTTTTTTTTTTTTTTAAGCAGAAATTTTCACATTTTATTTTCAAGGTAAAAACTCACAAATTGAAGAAATACGTTAACTCTCTGAACCAGAAAACCCAACACTGGGTTTACTTGGCAGGATATCGTCAAAAAAAATTACACCATTTATCAGAGCCAGAAATTAAAAATATGAAGAATCTTCAATCTTTCAATTTTGTCTAAAAAAGAAAAATAAATAAATAAAATTTTCGTTTAAAATTGTGATATTTTGTTGAAATCACTTTATTTCTACATGTCTCCAAAAAATAAATTGTGTACTGTAACCAGGTGAATAAAACTAAATAAAAAAATAGTTCTGCACTCCTTGGTGCAGCTATTAGTGATTCAGCTGCAAAAACAAAAAAAAATTTGTGCTCAAAAATTCAATAACTTACCAGCTGAACTTGGCTGAACTGCAGACTGTGTTTACACAGAGCAGATAGGACACAAATGTGTAAACAACTGTAAAATGTGAGTAGTAAGGTATTTCTGTATCTTCATCCTTATGGATCGTGTGTAAAGTTAGATTATTATCGATGTATGATTCATGCATGAGGGAGATTCGTCAACATTGTTCTCACATTGAGAATAAAAAACTGCCTCGATGCCGACTGCCATTAAAGAAAACACAAGAACAAACCTAATAGTCTGTGGTGATCACACGCTATTTTCATTTGTTATATTTTTTCTTATATTCATATTATTAGAAATAATGATAGATTAAAGCTATACATGTGTTGTCTCTGTCATTTAAAAAAAGAGTCAAAAATAAAGTGACTGCGCCTGAATTTTATGGTGTAGTTTGCACACTACTTTAACAGAATCTCTATGATGAAAGATCATAAAGGCATTGTTAAAATAGTGAAAAATAACCATTTCATTAAACAGTCAATTTTCAGTTTTTCAGTTTCTAGCCTTTATTTTAGATACTAGTTATGAAGTGTGTTTACATGTGTAAAACCAATGAAATTATCTATAGCCATGATTGAGTAATGTTATAATACGAATAATCAGGCTGCCGAAAAGCGCCCTTATTATAGTTTAATTCATATTTTACGGGAAAAAATCCTGTAAAAAATGTCCAAATACTTTTGTAATACTATTCATTTGGTTTTGAATTGCAAGAATCCCCTGTTAGTTTTACATCATATCAAGTCCTAGATGAGTTTTTACGTGTAACTTTAAATTAAAAGCTTATTTTCAGATCTCCCTTTTAAGGTTATTTTACTCTAGGTTGTCAATGTTTGTAGTCTTATAGACAAATTTTGTACTTTAAAAAATGTGTAAAAAGTCCAGAAAATAAAAAGCAAAAATAAATAAATAAATAAAAAAATCTAAAGTTAGAGTTTTTTGTGTGTATGGTTAGTGTCAGGAAGTGAGGTTTTTTTTTTTTTTATATATTGTGAAAGCAATATATGTTTTGATTATGGCAGATTTAAATCGTGGAACTTCGTCAATCGCTTTCTCACTCCCTCCTCCCAGCTTTCCCTCTGCTGGTCACGTCTGTCAATCGTATTTTTATGCTTTTACCTCTTTTTGTCTCCTAGGTCACAATAAAGAAGACAGGAAAAAAAAAACACATTAGGGAGTAGAGAGAGAGACAGAGAGAGAGAAGGAAGGATGGATGGAGGGAAGATGGAGAGGTTAATGGAGAGGCGGAGGGGGAGTGAGGGAGTAGGATGGGGGAGACGAGCTAATAAAGCAGGGATAAAGAGGCTTAGAAAGTAATGATAAAATGTAGAGTGAAGTCATACGGTTGATTTGGCACAACTGTGTGTGTGTGTGTGTGTTGCTTGTTTTTTTCTTGTGTGTTTATGTGTGTTTATATGTATGTGTATGTTTGTGTGTTTATGTGTGTGTTTATATGTGTGTGTGTGTGTTCTTGACTGATGTCCTTGACAATATGACTGATAATATCATTGCTTCAGGTCCCTGTTAGAGCACACTGAGACTTGATGTGTGTGTTCACATCATGTGTGAGAGTGACTGTGTTTGCTTGAATACACCCACTCCCTCAGGTCCTCAACACTGCATCACACTCCAGCACACCTTGTTTGTTTTTGTAGAGTCCTTCTACATACATATTTCAAATGATTTCATAAGTATTGTAGCTGGCATTAACTTCTAAAGGTCTCTAAGTCTTTAAACCCCAAGCAGTTTCTGAGCATTTTTTTTGCCCACATTTTTACTCATTGTAGGCTCATTTTTCACTGCAATATAAAGTCCTGCACCTCTTTGGAAGCAGCACAACCATGGCTAGAAGCAGAGAGAACTCATAAATGTCTTTTGGGTAGTGTGACACAATGCCATCAATCACAAGAAAGAGAAATGATGAAAGTTGAATTTCTTTGTTGATTTTACAAAAACTGAAAAACCTGGAAACAAAAATGAACAATAGTTTTTTCAAGTGCCACCATGTGTTACCAACTCTGGAAAACCACGGTGGCTGTATCCATTATGGATATTTTATGACTTACAATTTCCATTTTTTTCCTATGTTTGTCTACTGTCAGCTCTATGTAAGCACTGCCTGCAGTTCAACTGCGTTCAATCGCTACATTTTTGCTTATTGCACCTGAGTCAGTTATGGCTTCAAGGTTGAGTCGAATCGCTCGGAATTATTTGTTTTTTTTAGTGCAAATGATTTATTTTTGGCAATTTCTTTACATGGGATATAGAAAATAAAGAGATTTTAATGAAATACCACAATTTTAAGTTTGGATTCAGTTAATTTTCACAACCTAATCCATCGTTGGGAAGTTGAAAATCTGACAATTGGTCCTGTTTTGGCAGTTTCTTGCCCTTGCATATGGTGTTTTTTTTTTTTTTTTAAACCCTGTATGCCTTTTAAACCCACAGGCAAGTGTTGGAGTTCAAAGGGTTAATATCAACAATTTATTTGTAATTGTTACCATGACCACTTCAGCTTATCAGTCCTCTGCTTCCTCCTTTCTCTTTGGTCTCGCTTCCTGTGTTGGTAGGTGCTTCTCATTTGTCTTAAATGTCATCTTATTCCCCTGACTTGCATCTATTCCTGTACTTCTCGGTCCCTCCCATGTAATATGCGAGGAAGGGACGTGATGAATAGATGAGAGAAATGAGGAAACATTTAATGTAAATGAGAACCACCTACGTAGAGATGCAAGGAAAAGATGTGAAAACATGTTTGTCATGAAACGAGGCGTTCTGCTCTAAAGCAGCGTCAGTTACAGCTGATAGTGTCACTTATCAGTTTTGCTTTGTATTTGTACTTAATGTAACACACTGTATAATTATGGTTAGACACTGCTCTACTCAGTATTAATTAGTAATTACAATAATTAATTGTCCACTTGTGGAATCAGATTCAGTGAGGATGATGACAGTCAGAAGCACTAACTGTGTTCTTCTTTGAGAAAAAAAAAAACTGCCGCAGAAAATCCTCCTCATCCAGCACAGCATTTTAAAGACTACAGAGCCAATGACCGATTACCTAAGTAAGCCAAAGACAAGGATGTGGTCAACACTACAGGATCAGGGATTAATACTTTACTCGACAAATGCATCTCAGTGCCTTCACGCATCTGTTCCTAATGTTGTGTTGGCTGCTCTAAGGTTCCACCAGCGTTTAGCGTCAAGCAGCAGTCGGCAGAAATGCGAAAAATGCATAATTTTGAAGCCACAGCAGATTTATGGTCAAGCTGAACTGTGGAATCATACAAGAGCCTGACAGTTTGTTTTCGTAAGTAATGGCTTTATCATGAGCAGTCTGAGCCCATACAGGCTGTGAGGATCTCTGAGGCTCAGATAGGACTGAGGGAGGGTTGGACTTGCTGTAGGTTGGAGAGCGAAGCGATGGCAGTGGATCCAGCACTGTGACAAGTCTGTCTTTAGAGCTGGACTTCTTGGTTTGGATCACTGGTTATATCAACCTACTGATGGGCTTTTTTATCGCACACAGGAAAGTATTTTTTCAAAAAGTTCAAAAGTTGAATATTTTTTACAAATATATTTTACACAGTCACTCAGCAATGAAAGTTTTTGTAACACAGTATAATTTAACAGTAGTTTATGATGATATTGTTTGTAGTTTCTTCATGAATACAGTATGTGCTACAATGCTATTTTTTATAGAAAAATCAATGAAAGCCATCTCTGTGTATCAAAGTTACATATTCAAAAAAAGAATTCTGATTTCCATAATTATTTCTTGTCTTAAAATGACAGACATAACTTCATGCCGTCATATTGCAGATCAAGCACACCAGCTCACCTGTGACTCTGCTGTAAAGCTACTCTACGCTACTCAATTGACAAGTTGTAATATTGGAGGAAATCCAGCCATACGTGTTCAACACAAAAGCCAATTCCAAAAAAGCAATATTGATAGAGACAGTCCCACAGTGCAAGCTGACAGGACTGGTTTTATTAGATTTGATACTTGTGAAATCCCAACTGTCTGTAAAGTCTGTCCCTGTTCTCTGCCTTTGTTATCTGACTCTCTACAGTATTGATTGTCAATGAAAGGTAAAAATATCAAGAAATAGTTACTTCAGAAAGTGTTCCGAACACTGAGGGTTAAAAATTCTGTGTTTTCAGTGTGACTAGAATCGTGTACGCAGGTTGGGTAATAAACAGCAACACCGATAGACAATGAAAATGTGTTTGTACTGACCGAAGGCAGCAATGATGGAGCGTTTTGTGGTTTAAAGTCACTGCACTTTGTGAGCCAATATGCCCATTAAAAGAAATAATGAAAATAATTTTTTTATGAATGACAAGCCACAATCCCCATCCTCCTTCTCTCTCCTGTTTCCCTCTCTCCTCGCCCCAATTCCACCCTCTAAAAGACACCCAGAAGCACAATTTTGCCCTCCCCAAACCATAAAATGAGTGTATATCTCTCTTGTTCACTATTTAACCAAAATATTCTTCTTCCTCTCTCCTTTTCGTACTTGTGCAGGTATTTCGTACTGACTTCATCACGGCCATGAAGCTGCCGGACTCTGCCCAGCTCGGCCCAGACGACTTCTACGTGCTGTCTGACCCCTGGAGACAAGAGTGGGAGAAGGGAGTGCAGGTCCCGGCCAACCTGGAGGCCATACCAGAGCCTGTGGTCAGGTAGGACACACACCAACAACACACATTAAACTCATGCAGGAGTTCGATATCAAATAAAACACCACATGTATTTCTTCTTTTGATCTCCATTTAATGAAAATCACTCAAAGCCTGACTCAGTCGACATTGTTCTCTTAAGACAGAAGAAGTTTTCTTTGGCAGCGAATGCTGCTTGCACAAAAGGTATTGTTGTCTGTTAGCCGCTGGCTGCATTTTGTGACCATCATAAACAAACAGAGAGACTGGCAGAGTTCCAAAAAGCTACAGAGATCTTAGAAAAGTTATGAGATTTAAACTTTTGTTGACTTGATAATTACCAAATTGTCAGTAAACTTGTGGAGGGGGGATGAAATAAAAGGGAAATCACAACCATGAAAATTAAATTTGCTGAAGTAATTTCAATAAATGTGCTTAAACGAGCATGCTGAGATACCAAAAGGTCTAAAAAGCTTTCGCTGGGATGATTAAAAACACCAACAAAGAGCAAATGCTCAGGGAAAATTTGGCATTGAATTGTAATAACAGGTGTGGGAACCCTTAACATAATTACACTGCGTGTAATTACACTAATTAGCAATATATTTGTAATGGAAAATATGAACACACTCTCCTGCACACAGACAAGAACATAAAGTGAGACCCTTTCTACTCTATTTTAGTGATTCATATACAAACACACACGTCTACTGGAAGCAGGTTTGGATGCACATGATTCACACACAGACACACAACATCAAGCTGGTAGGCAGATGTGTGCCGGCATGCACTTCGACCCACTTTGATTCACTCCCGTTCTGTAGATTAGCCTCGGCTTGGTCTCTCCCTCTCTCTCTTTCCTGCCCCAGTAGGCTCTCTAGTACTACTGCAGCTGCTTCACATACCCGTGTGGTTTGTTTGGCGTTCGAGGAACTAATGAAAATGCTCAGACTGCCTGGTAATGCCTGTTACGCTGACATGTCACACTGGGAGGCCACACACACGCTTTTTCAGTCGTTCTGGGAGTAAGATAGACGAATTATCCATTCATGAGAGATTTGGTCAAATGTTTTGTATCCATGAACCTTGTTTTCACCTGCTTCGAGAAAAACAGATAAAAACTGACTGTCGCAGATAGAAAGCAAAAACTTCTTCAACTCAGATTTCATAGCATTTTGTTTGATGAAGCTTCTGAATGCGACGACCTGAAAAGTGCACGCTCCTCGTGTTTCTGCCCCCTCACTGCGTTGTGTTATTGCTGCGTTGCTGCGAGTTTTGGGGTGCAGCCGTGGGTCAGGAGTTAACTGGGGTTTACACCAAATCGCAGGGTTTGATCCCTCCTCCTGCCGTCTGTCCTTTGGCAACGCTCCGAACCCCCGAATTGCTCGATTGCGGTAGCTGGCAGCAGCGAGAGTGAATGAGAAGCAAATTGTAAAGCGCTATATAAATGCAGCCTTTACAATTTTCCATCTACCACTCAGCGGGTCCATTTTAAATTAGAGAGAGAAAAAAAATACTTAATAGATTTTTAGGGTCATGACAGCAGCAAAAAAAAGGGGGCTTGGTTGGTGATTGTGTTGTAAAATCTGTTGTGCCATGCTTAATAGCAACTCTAACCAGGCAATTAAAAAACAAAAGAAACTCCAGGCCTGTTCTAATGACATAAATAAATACTTTAGACAAACAATATGCAAAATCAAATGATCTAGTGTTTCCAAATGAAACCTTATGAGGAAGAAGTGAAATTAATCTTTGACTCGCAAGCGAAAATGCCTGCATAAACGGTTTTGCTCGAGTGGTGAAATCGAGACAGACGAATGAGGGCAGGAGACAATAAATAATAGACAAGGAGATTAAAAGAATTTTGATCGTCTGTAAGATTCGAAGAGATTAATGTGTTCACTGTTTACATTGCTTTCCAGGTTAATATGTGTTGACACAGGAACAGTATGGCGCTAACAGATTGAACGGAGCCTGGAGGCAGATAGACAGATGAGCATTTTGCGAGAGAAATGCATAAAATGATAGTTAGGGATAGATGGGTGAATGGAGGAGCTTATCTATTATCCCGTATGTGATAGAATGATGAAGTGATTTACAGTGATGCTGAAATGGAGTGATGATGGATAGATGGTGAGATAGAGGAGAAGAGGGGTGAGTCTAAGTGTGACTGAGCTGATGGCCTCCGTCAGAGTCTCTGACAGCAGGTTTGTTCGTCTTTTCTCTCTCGTATGTCATCTTGACGCGCCTCTTTTCATCTCCTGCCTCTCTTTTTTTTCCTCTCTGCGCTCTGTTCTTTGATACGTTTGGGCTGAAATCTACGACTTCTTCGGGTTTTACCCATAAATGAACCCCTGTGGACAGTCTGAATCAGTGGCTGGAGAGCTTATTCCTACATGATGATTCTTAGGTTTTTTTTTTCAGGTAAAAAGCAAGAAATTTACTTAACAGGGAGTAAGGATTCAAGCTATGTCGTATCAATTTGTACAGCAGCATAAATCAGTGCTTTCAAAACTATTATCAGGCCAGTATACAGCTTGAACTCAATTTCTTGGATCGCTCAAATTTTAAGGTGGTCTTGTGTAGTTATAGGAAAGGAGACACTTGGCTTTTTGTCCTTTACTAGTTGTTTTTTTACGTACCTTTGTGAACAGCTGTTAAAACTGACATTCACAGGGCTTCTTTTTTGTTTTTAACTCAGCTATAATCAAGTTAACAGAGTGGGTAATCTCCCCATGTCATTATAGAAAAAGTTTAAGGTGTCCATCGGTTTGAAATATAACAAGTAGACTCTGTGCAGCAAATAAAACCAAAATAGTTTAAATGACCTGAGCTTGGAAAAAGATGAGGGAACAAGGTGTGAGAATCCCCTGGATGCTGGCAAATAACACAAGACCGACTTTCAGTGGGATGTTATTGTGTAATATCAGAGTGGTGACTGAGGTAGGTCAACTGTGATGTTTGGACAAATCCTCACATCTGCCAAATGGTCCCGCTGTTGATGAAGTGCATAAACACTTTGTGTCAGAAATCAAAGGCCACAGCTATTACAGCATCATCCTGTCCCCCTAAAGTTCTCACTTAACTTGTAAGGTAGTCCTTCTTCGCTTTTCACAGCTGATAAAACAGCTGGAGAAAGGAAAGCAATAGAAACAGAAGAAAAGATCGATGACACTCTCATGTCTGTCCATTCAATTTGAGGCCACAGCCAACAACTTGTTTCTGGTCTTTAATGCACTTGTCCACTGACAACAGTAACTAATTCTGGTAAAATAAATGACATGTATCCTTCTAGCAAAACATTGTTAGTTCAGGTTATTTGCCAGTTTTGCTGATTCTCCTGTTTTACAGTCTACACAGTGCTCTGCAAAATGTCACTCAGAGGCACATTTATAACCTTAATTTAAAGTTATTTATGGATTTGATTGTTATTTTATTTACATTTAAACAGTTTCGCTGCAAAGGATCCGTTTTTATCAAACAGTGAAGCACTTTGTGTAGTTTGTTTCAATATGAGGTCTGTGCATTAATCATTGACCATCCTTCTGACGAGTATGAATGATGACTGAGTTTTGACAGTGATCACGGTTTACGTGCATGTGGGATAAATTAGTGGTCCAGTGCATAACACGCATGTGAGAGTGACTGTACATCATTTATTGATAATGATAGACGTGGATATGAAGCTGGTGCACATGCACGCATTTCCACAGTGATTGAGATTTTTAAGAGTTAGGGCAGCTTTATCAACATGAATAAAAGAATGTGCACGCATGTTTCAGTGTTTCATTTGTGAATTTTCAGTTATATGCCTTTGGCTTCAATTTTGCTTGCATGGCACAGTTTAAGAGTCAATGGTTAGTCTAGTCACATTATTTTGCCTGAGACTGTTTCCAAGACCAACAACGTGACAGATGCACAGTGTTTCGGTAATGTTAAACTTGCCTAGAACGCAAGCTCTGCTCTCATCCCATCAACTTTGCTTTGTTTGTAGCTTAACTAGTCTCAAACTGTGTTTTTGGGTCAGTGTAGCGGATTCAGGTCACTGCTCTCTCGGCTTAGCTCACGTTATCTTGATTTTACATAGTGAAGTGCGTGTTGAAGTCTATTGTGTTGTTGTGCCTTATTATGTGCCTGTTCATGAATATTCATTCTCTCTTTGACTTGTATGGTGCAGTATTTCTGCTTGATGATCGTCCTGCTGCCTTCCTTTGCGTTGTGAAACCTGCAGAAACAGCACCACTACTTTTGCTCTGAGGTACAATGTTTGCACTGAGCGGTTTCTACTCTGTGCAACACTTGGATCGACCCTTGATTGGTTAAATAAAGTATTCTGGGTTGGACATATTGTGCATTCATTTCAGATTGGTATTCTGAATGTAACAGCCATTCATTTAACTAAACAGCCTAGGAATGAGGGGCATGCGGTACATTTTATAGCTTTTAACTTGTCCAGTGGGGCAAGTAAATTTCTCTTCCACTTCCCCTACAAAAAAGATCCACTTGTCTTAATCTCAAGCCGGGCCTGTTAGCTTAGCTTTGCACAAAGATTCAAAGTAGGGAAACCTCTTTCTTTGCTCAAATGTTAAAACATGTGCCTATCAGCACCTCTTTACTTAATTTCTTTAATCTGAATTTTGCACATAATAAGAAGATTTTAACCTGAAAACAGGAATAACATTTTAAAAAATGCTAATTGAGAATCTTTCCTCATCGTCCAACTGTCTTCCTTGCTATCTCAAGTTCCTACCTTTATCTCTGATGTCTTCATCTCTACCATCTCTCCCTCCCCCTGCCTTCCCTCCTTCTCCTCCCACCTTCTCCCTCTTCCTTTTGTTCTAGTCGAGCCGGAGGCGCAGACACATTTTTCTTTTTCTATTTTTTTTTTATGAATAATGACATCATCTCCAAAAATTGTGGGAGAGGAAAAGAGCTGCGGGCCTCGTCTGGCTTTGACAGCACTCTTCCACATTTGTCTCCCTCTCCTTGGACCGTATTTGGTTGCTGCGGTGTGATTTTCGGTAAAACTTGTTGTGGCGGATGGCGAGGAGGTCATTATGGTTGTTTTCCTTTGCCTCTCTTTACCATAACACCAGAGGAGAGACTCAGGGGAGCAGGAGGAAGAGTCGTGAACCCTCTTTGCTTCTGTGTCTCACTGTCCTTCATTCTGTAATTTACTTTCTATCCTCCTCTGTCTCTTTTCTTTCTTTCTCTTTCTCCAGCCTGTGCCCTTCATCTTCATTTATAATCTCTCTCTTGACTTTCCTCCTGCTTGTCCCCCCTCTATGGCCATCTCTCCTCCCCTCTGTCTATTTTATTTCATAACTCACTCCCCCCCTCCTCGCCTCTCCTCTCTCTTTCTCTCTCCACGGTTTTGTCGGGGCCGAGTGGAAGTAATTAGCCGTTGCGTAACACTGGCTATGTGCAGACAGTGAATGGGGCTTTGGCAGTGACTCGACAGCCCCGCTCCCCTGTGACAACGCCGAACCGGAGAGGGAAATAATTACACATACACATGAGAAGATCTGCGCCTTTTCACAAAGTTAAAGAAATGGGATAGTGGTTGTGTTATTTATTACTTCATTTTTCCCCCATCAAACTGGTGGCCTGAGCTGGTGAATGTGAACCCGTTGTTTGTGGTTTGGCCAAACATGTTGGCTTTGGGAACGGCGTGTAAAGCTGTGGTTGTTGAGAACATCGCACAGAGAAACTCCTCATTGAAGTAGTTCATGTACTGCAAAGCGAAAAGATTGATTATACAGATTTTTTTAAAAACATTTTCTGGAAAATTACAAAAATGTTTGATTCGCATGTGACGGCCCCCCCTAGTATGCTGGTTGAGCACATTAGCTGTCTGCGTTGCGTTCTGCTTCCTCAGGTCCCCTAGACTGTTGGAGACTGAGGGGGGGGTCCTACCTGCTTGGCCTCCTTGGGCCTAGCGCTCCCAGGCTACAAAAGGGCCAATTCCTCATCTCCTGCTCTCTGTCGTCATGCTTACATCCAGGCATCCAGGCATCTGCACCTACACTACTGATATCACTGACTTACACAGCTCACTTTGGTAATATTAATTTCAGCAGTTACTAAAACTAACACCTAAAACTGGCAACACCTGTGTTGTCTCCCCTCTGTTGCCATAACCTATTTGCCGGGTTGTGACGCGCACATCAATGTTCAAACTTCAAGAATGCATGGAAGTCATGGGATGAAAAACATTGCCTCAAGCTGGATAACGAAATACATCATGTGGCTCCCAGTGGTGGAATATGTGTAGATCATGTTTCTGGCAGCTGTAATCATATGCAAAACGTGGGTCAGACAGGCATGGATGTTATGCAAAACCTTCGGTGAAAGTAGGTTGAAGCAGCGCCCAGAGGGGACGAAAGGTTTGAACGCTGTGTTGATGCAGATGCTGTTGTTTGATAAGGGAACAAGGCT